AATTTCAGGATTTGCATTTCTTTTATCTACAATCCCCACTTCACGGGAATGGATACAAGAATTATGCTAAATCATGTTGCATTAGCTTTCTATTTAATATTTTCTGGTTAAGCTTCTCCACTAACACTAGTTGTCTGGTTTACCATAGGGGTGGATTGGGTGGCGACTTTTGATCACCAATTAATTATGTTATTAAACTTTTCTGTTTACCTTTCCATCCTTTATACCTGTTTGAATATAATCTTAAATTCCTCATCTTAGATAATCAAATTTTGTTTTCTGATCTTTAATAAAATTTGACTTGTCTATTAGTAGGATGAGTAACGTAACTTTAGATAATTTCCCTGGAAGCACAGAATTTGAATGTTAGGAAAGTAAATAGGAACCGTCCCTACTGCAGAACTTCAGATGAACTTTGTCTCAGCAATGAGGTATTGAGACCTTTGAAAGAAATAAGAGGTGTTTATTGCTTAGATTTTGCAGTCACTTAGTTGTCTATGAGTACATGCATGCATTCCCTTTATCAATACACATATTTCTTGTCAGTGTTGAATAATCATTGCTGGAAACATACTTGGCTTTCAGTCTCTATGTGCTTTGATGTTAAATGTTTGTCATGAATTTCTGCAGGAATGTCCGCCTGGCACTTATAAAAATGTCACGGGTTCTGATAGATTCCTATGTTTTTCATGTCCAAGTTATGGGCTTCCCCATCGTGCTGTTTACATTTATGTCCGAGGTATCTCCTATGGAGTGGCTTATTTGCTTTCTACAGAGTTTTTCTTTGATGCAATTTCATTCTTAGAGACGCTAGTGTCATCTCTGATCTCTTTCTTTTCATTATGTTGTAATATGTTTACTATGTCAAATTGTACTATTTGATTATGGCTAGTTTCATAAAATCATTTTTAAAAGCTTAAAATGCATTTTTAGCAGTCCTAAGCATATTTATGAAAACTGACCGACCCAGATGTCGACCCAGAATGAGAAGTGAGTCAAGGGTCACCGGTTCAACCCCGGGTTGGCTATTGAACCGGCATGTCAATTTTGATTATAGACACACTTGATCATTTCTATCATACCATAGAAAAATAGCAAACTTACATACAATTTGAAAGAAACACAATTTCAATACTCAGATAATTATTAAAAATTCGTCAATTGAGTAAATGTAAATTTCAATACTCTTTAAACAATCTAAATTGTTTGAGATGCATTAAAATGTAAGAACACATTAACACACATTAGAGCACATCCATGATGGAGCCTCGGTCATAAATCCTTCAACCCTTTCACATTCTCTGTCATAGTGAAGTATTTATCTTCGATGCCCTCATCACCTAGATTTTCAGTTCTTTAAATTGTATTTTGTTATTGAGTTTTAGGTTAAAAACAAAATTGAACTGGTTCAACTAGTGTCGCTTAGGTTGACCGGTTTGTCATGGTCAATATTTTTTTATGGGTCAACACCTTGTTTGCTTAATTTAAAGTCTTGGAACTGTTTATTAACCGGGTCACCGGTTCATGGGTTAACCCAGCTTGTCCAGGTCGGTTTTTATAACACGTTCGCAAGTATTGGGGTCAGAACTTTCCTATTTCCATTTCATGCATGTAGAATCTCCTTTTAATTTTAGCTGATGTTTCTTTTTGTCCATGTCAGGCGGCGTTACTGAAGCACCTTGTCCTTACAAATGCATTTCTGAGAGATATCACATGCCACATTGTTATACAGCTCTTGAAGAGTTGATATACACATTTGGAGGGCCCTGGTTATTTGGTCTTCTGCTTTTAGGCCTCCTCATTTTGTTAGCATTAGTGCTGAGTGTTGCACGGATGAAATTCATTGGGGGTGATGAGTTACCAGGCCCTGCTCCTACTCAACAGGGTTCTCAAATAGATCACTCCTTTCCTTTCTTGGAATCACTTAATGAGGTATCTTCTGAAGAACCTTAAACATTTAATTTTGTTAATGTCATTAGTGATACATTTAGTGAGGGAGGAGGGACGCAATCAGTACATCTTCCTAGCGTGCCTAGTGGTGAATAAAAATAGAGAGTTTGATATCATGTCCAACTCTCAGGTTTTGGAGACTAACAGAGTTGAAGAATCCCAGAATCACGTGCATAGAATGTATTTTACTGGTCCAAATACATTTAGAGAACCTTGGCATCTTCCTCATACACCTCCTGAACAAGTAAAAGAAATTGTGTAAGTTCCCTCTCCTTTTTCCCCTTTGTAATTGCTAGTTATATATGTTGCCACTTTATGGTGATAAGTAATGTGCACTGGTATGCCACTCATCACAGAACAGTAAGCTTTGCCACCAATTTCTTTCCCATTGACACAAGGGTTGGAAACTATGTATCTTTGAACAAACGATCTAATATTTATTGAAATGGCAGATATGAGGGTGAATTTAATGCATTTGTGGATGAGATCAATGCTCTTGCTACATATCAGTGGTGGGAAGGATCGGTACACAGTATTCTTTGTATTATCGCCTACCCTCTTGCATGGTCATGGCAACAGTGGCGGCGGAGAATGAAATTACAACGAATTCGAGAATTTGTGAGATCAGAATATGACCATGCTTGCTTACGTTCTTGCCGTTCACGTGCGTTGTATGAAGGGCTGAAGGTTAGTTGTGCAGGGATTAAAATACAATGGCAACAAATATATGAATTGTGCATGCCTTCCTCTAGCTTCGGAGTAGCCAAATATTTTTAACCCAAAATCTCCAAACGATATTATGTTTCATTATATAGATAATATGTTCAAGAGTTCTTTTTTAGCTGGGGGCGTGGAGTGATGAGTTTGGATCAGTTTATCCTCTACCTTATTGATGTGCTTCCAAATTTACTATTCTAAGAGTATGTGGTTGAACTAGTCCCCTTGGTATATGCACCCAATTGTTGGCATTTCTTTTTGTTGCTTGGGTGGTGGTGGGGTTAAGAACAGAGCAAAGAGAAACATGGATATGAACCTGTTCTAGATACTTATTTGTATCTCCGGACATCCCATTTTCTTTATGATTAATATCTTCTCTAGAAGTGAAAAATAAAAAGCTGCTGCTTCGATGAATGGGCAATAGTGAAGAGCCAATACCGTGAGATCTGGTTCTTTTTTATTCTGTAAACTTGATATTTCTTGTGTTTCCTTCATAGCACACTAAGTTTCAGTTTAACAACCACATTAGTGTTACATGTTCTGTGTTTAAAATTTATTGATAGTTACTTCTTAACTTCTTCAATTTGTGCACCCCTCCCTCCCACCCTCAAAATCCATTAGTTAGAGGCTTAGAGCACTTGGGAAAAATATGATTCATGCGATAATTGATGCTTAAAATTTTTTAGCTCGGAATTGATATACGTGACTGTAGGTGGCTGCAACACCTGATCTAATGCTAGCATACATTGACTTTTTTCTTGGGGGTGATGAGATGAGAAATGATCTTCCTCCTGGTCTCCCCCAAAGATTTCCAATGTCTCTATTATTTGGAGGTGATGGAAGTTACATGACTCCTTTCTCACTTCAGAATGACAACATCATCACCAGTCTCATGAGTCAGGTTTGTCACTTAAACTGAAAAAAATTTGCCCAGGGAAGAATGATAATAAGAGAGAAACATTTTATGCTACATCAAAATAGAAATCAAGAAGTGAATTAACTCACACTTTTAATTTCAGTCTGTGCCACCCACCACATGGTATCGCTTTGTGGCTGGTTTGAACGTATACTTGCGCTTGGTACGCCGAGGTTGCCTCAGAGCAAAGTTTCGCGCTGTCCTCAAATGGCTTGAAACTTTTGCCAATCCTGCTTTAAGAATATATGGTATTCAAGTGGATCTTGCCTGGTTTCGAGCTACTACTGACGGTTATTGTCACTATGGACTTTGGGTATATGCTGTTGAAGACAGTATGGACCATGTACCATTAGAAGCACCTAGAAGTCAACAGCATTCACGGTATTGGTTTTTGACAATTTTATTACGTACATAATTAGTCAGATACGAGCACGCACACGTTTGCACGTGACCACTAATTAGTTATGAAGTACATAGACGTACAGATGTATGTCTGCTTTTGGAAGACTTCAATCCTTTTTTTTGTTTTTTCCAAATGAAACTGCTCAATCTTATATTAAGTAATGTCTCCGAAACACTGCTGGCACAATAAAATGTGGAATACAATGAGTTGAACTATAAGAAAAGCGAACCAATGAAACATAGGATGCCAGCTTGTGGGCCACCTATTCCTCTCATGAGGAATATTGCGACAAGGGCCATCACCAATATCCTGTAACAAGATAATTCTATCACAAGGAAGGGAGATAAAAAACTACATTTTTGTTTTGTTTATTATTTTGCCATAACATTATTATGTGTTCTGTAATCTGTACTAATTTAAGGTTTTTTAGCCACCCTTGTGGCTAGGATGGGGTGTGATTGGTTGCCTTTGTAAATTGGGGTGCTGAACTTGAGTAAATACTGATTTTGCAAATATTTGCAACTTTCTAGTTAAGCTGAATTGATTGTTTTATTTTGGAAGTTTAAGCAATTTAGCATTCATCTCCAACTAAGCTGTACATGTCCTGGATAAATCCATCTTCATCGTCTTGAACTGTTGTCCTCACAAAAAATTGTTTTCTGTGCATTTCATATCACACATTTTGATGATTGTAATCATTTTTCCCTTTCTTGCCAATGATATTTTAATATTCTTTTCATTCGTTGAGTTTATCTTTTGGAGGGACAGTTTGGGGGAGATGGCCAACTATTATTAGTTTAGCAGTATTCGATGTTGTGACTTTCCTGTTTTGCTGTCACTTATCTGGACAATAAGGTTGGAAATTGATTCTAAATATCTATGCATTTCGATCTTATTTCTTGATTTTTGTTTCCTTTTAACTTCCGCAGTGGTATATATACTGGAGAGGTGATATATTTAAGTCGCAGTCAGAGAAGCACCGGGGGTAACTTAAGGCGGAAGATTTATGGTGGGGTTTTAGATATTAACAGTTTGAAGATGCTTAAGGAAAAAAGAGATATACTTTTTGCGCTCTCTTTTCTAATTCATAACACCAAACCTGTTGGCCACCAGGTATGCCTCTCTCTCTCTCTCTCTCTCTCTCTCTCTCTCTTAAAAAGAAGAAAAAAGACCTGATTGGCTGGCGGTGTGGGACATGGTGCATTCTACATAGCCATTCTGGGTATTAGTTAATTTTCCCTTCCTAAACTTTCCGTACATCATATGCTGCAGGATCTTGTCGGTTTGGTCATCTCTATACTGCTTTTAGGGGATTTTAGCTTAGTATTGCTCACATTACTCCAGCTGTTTTCACTTTCCCTGGTGGATGTCTTTCTTGTTTTGTTCATTTTACCTCTTGGGATTTTGCTTCCGTTCCCTGCTGGAATCAATGCCTTATTCAGTCATGGACCTAGGCGATCAGCAGGTCTTGCACGTGTATATGCTTTGTGGAACATCACATCTTTTGTAAATATTGTAAGTCTATCATTCACATATGTGGTATGATCATACTTTCACTGGATAATTTTTTGGTTTTCTTTTTAGTGGTTATTTTTCTTTAAAGATATCTTGGTCATATCTAGGAGCTTGTTTGGGGGAGATTTTTTCAAAAATCATTTTCTCCAAACTCATTCTCATCCTCACGTTCTCCAAAAATAATCATTTTTCACATGGCCCAATAACTTTTCCTTATTTGTTAGCCACCCATTCTCCCAAAAAAAAAAAAAAAAATTTACAAAATATTTCCCCCAAGAAAAATATTTTTGAACCACGCTAACATTCCTGTCAAATAGTATTCAATTTCTTCTGAAATGTTTCATTTTTTTATTTCTCCTTTTCTTATTTTGTTCTTATAGATTGTGTTTCTCTTTTCATCAATCATCTATGCACATTCCACTTGTTTTGAGGCCTCTTGATGGGAAAGATTTGATTTTTCAAGGCATAGATTTCAATCTAATCCGCCTTGCATTCCAAATTTACTCGGTTTTATTGGCATACTGCAGGGTGTTGCATTTCTTTGTGGATATGTTCACTACAGCACGCAGTCAAGGAAGAAAATTCCATACATTCAGCCATGGAATATGTGAGACAAATTACAAAACTTTCATAATAAATTCATTTTTGGCTATTTATATTAACGTGCTATTTTTCTTGTGCTTCCCCTACGATTTCTGATGCAGGGATGAAAGTGAGTGGTGGATTTTTCCTCTTGGACTGGTTTTATGTAAATGCATCCAATCGAAGCTCGTTAATTGGCACATCGCAAATTTAGAGATTCAAGATCGTTCCTTGTATGTTAATGACTTCGAGCTGTTCTGGCAATCGTGATATATATTACGAAGAAATTTCTTACACACTAACGCCCATATTTTTTGTCACGGGTTGTCTTAAAATGTTTATCTACTATAGCCCTTTAGAGTAAGAGTGATTGCCACGCTAGTAGAAAGTAGTTTACTTTAATGTGAAGGGAAAAGTGATAGAGGTATTCATTATTAAATCCTACTTTTGTGCAAGTTACTAGACTTCCTGGCATGTAAATATAAGCAAGATGGCATATTCCAGGGTGAAAGAATCCATGTAATTTTGTATTTTTGCCCCCATTTTCCTATCTACTTAATTTTGCCTCATAATTAGTCTATACTACATTGAATTTCATGATATTGAGGTGAATTTTGATGGGCAGATCTTACCTTTCAATTGCAGAATCGGCCCTCAACAACTAAAATCACATAAACTTCAATAAAATTGTTGTGTAGACATGTTCGATTTTATAAGCAGTATTAGACACAATTAAGAAAGAAAAAAGGTTAAAAAATCTAGTCTGATATACCGTTAAATGCTATCCAATACTGTACGCAAAACATGACCTACAATTTTGAGGAACAAGAACACGGTACAATGCTGATACAACTTTCAATTTAAAGGTCACTAATATATTGGAGGTTAATTAAAGAAAGTCAACAAAAATGAATTACTCCTTGTTCAAGACTTTTGGAACTTTGATATAAGAATCTTCATAGCATGGCACAGCAGCTACTATGGCATCCCTGTAGAGAATTAAAGTTAATTTAGATAAATTGAATCATGATTTAGGTCATCAGATACTAAGATCCGAACTTGCAATAGAGGCTGTGAGTGGAAGAAAATACCTATTCTCAAATATCTCAGGCGAATCATAGCGCAAAGTTTCTTCTTCATTATCTGTAAATGCAAGAAAGGGTTTTTTATACGGTAATTCAACGTTAAGTGTTTTGGTTGGCAGGTCAAAGGAAAATGACACTGTTACAGCACAACCATATAAAAGCACACTGAAACCCAGTATTTAGTTTCAATTTACACAATATTGGACACAACGCTATGTACTATGGTGAACTATATTTTCTTCTTTAATCATATATATTACAGTCAAGTCTACCACATAAAACAAGCCAATTTATAACAAACAATATTTTACAGTATTTTCGATCAAGCTCAACGACAGAAGTTCAAGTAGGCAATACCTAAACGCAAACGAATTACTGCAAATAAAGGGCCAAAGGAAATGCAGAGATAGAATAAGAAATCGAAATCTCATTTTCTGATCTCTCAGTACATAGATCAAACACTGCCATTTCTTTGGAGTTAGATGAACTAAACAGAAATTTTATAGATTAAAAAGAAAAAAAAAAATCCATAACTAAATAAAAATACAACTTTAGTGTCTCAAGAACCTGCTCTTATGGCTGGCTCAACATTCTGAAGATCAACAGCTTGAAGTTGCCCAAACCTATTTCATGAACACAACGATGTGAGAATCCAAATACTACTACTGTCATATTATGAAATGTGCCCAAGGATCATTAAAAGTAAAACCTCTGAAGAATAGAGTATGCTAAAAAAATAATAATAGTAATAATAATAAAAATAAATAAATAAATTTGTAGCAAATCAGAAGCAGGTGTAAAGTAAGTCCAACTGAAACTAAAATTGAGATCACTTAATGCTAGCAGACACCCTCAAATAACTGAAGATTTCTTTTGTTCCAATAATTTGTTATCAACAGCAAAAACTAAGCCTTAATCCTAATAAGCGAGCATTGGCTACATGAATTCTTTTTTGCCATTTCATTCTGTTCATTGCAGATATAAATCAACAAGATATTCTATTCCCATAAAAAAAAGTTCAATCGTTTCCTTTGGGAACTGTTACCCAGTTCAAATGCACAATAAGATATGAATCTCTAAGCTTCAACGTTATTTTCATGCTTACATAGAAAACTAGGTCATTAATCATATATAATGGCCTGATAAAACTAGAAGCAAATAAATCAGAAATGCTAAAGGACACATCAAGCTACAAAATCATTCGTCACAGGATTCAAATGTTGCTCTCAAAGATTGATCAATGGCCTCGTGATTGACATCTAAGGAGGCCTTTGAATTGGTATTGTGATATAGATCGTGCCAGTACGCAGTCCTCTCCAAATTTAAATACCTGTCCAAAGCTGATAGTCCATCAAAAAGAACCTTGATGCTGATGTTTACTATCTTAAATCACAAATTCTTCACATTTTCTCAATCAGTTAACATTTAGGTTCAGAAGTCAGACAGTGAACTGAGACATCCTCTATTTTTTTAACTTTAACCTTACTGAAAAAGATCGCAACCAATTTTATAACATTGACCTTAACATCTTTTTTGTTGTTACAAGTCCACGAGAAAGAATTTTCATAAATCTCCATTCCACATAACTAATAACTAAAATATAAATGCTGTTTCTCCAAATAATTACACTACAAAGTAAAAAATGCCCTACAGAAAGTAAATAAATAACATATTTATGAATTTGAACTAATAAAGTCATATTTATCAAAATATACAGAATCATTTCCATGCTAAAGGTCTACAACTCATTTTGGATAAATTCTCATTACAACTTTCTATTAATTTCCCCCTTTCTTGCTCTAATCCTGTATCCATTCAAAAACCTCATCCAGAAACTTGAATAGAGATCCTGTGCAGTTTCCTCCACCCATATATATATATATGAAATGCACAATCAATGAGATATAAATTACTACCTCTGCACTGCCAAATACATTGTTGGTTCTATGACTCTGAATTGCAAATTTTAACCTCAAATTTAGAAAATTATCACTGTTAATTAGAAACATTAAAATTTGTAAATGCCCGAGCAGGTACATAGAGAAAGAGTACCAGTCTATCACTTGTTGAATTTTAGGAGCAAATTCTTCAACCTACATGAATAAAACAAAAACTAAGAATCAAAAAATTATAAGCTACAAGTAAATTGACAAAATGAAATTTATGGGTGTGATTACTTCATGTGGAGCGAGGGAAATACGAGCTGTTTCGGCCAAACGTTGAACATCAGGAGGCTCAAGACTCGATTTTACTGCATAATTTCGATTATTTTGCTTTAAAACAAGCGCCTTTTTTGGGTTGAAGCTGAATTGCAGCGGTGTGGCTCTCACAAGGAGCAAAGCAGCTCTGATTGCCATTGTTATGAATTTGATTTAATGATAATTTGACGTTTTATTCGTGTTATATGCCCATATGGCTGGCTGGGCTAAAGCTAGGGTGGCTCCGGACCGCCGGACTGTAAAAGCTAAGTCAATGGGTGGCGCCCAGACCTTCTATTCACTGGGCCCAGCTTAGCAGCCAATCCACTTTTGTTGGACTAGGCCCGTGGATCTGGGCCCATCGGAACCAAGGGCCTGTATTAAATATGGGAAAATTACCAATAATCCTTCATCTCTAGTTTATATTTCAAAAATAGGAGAAATTAATTTTAGTTTCACTAATCAGGTGATAAATAAGATTAATTAAAATTATAAAATTAAATTAATATACCTATCTACCCCACTCGACTACACCCACGCCTTTAATCATTTCCCCCTTCCATCTCTACAAAAACCCTTATCTCTATTATCCCTTCTTTCTCTACACTCTCTTTCGATGGCATCTCTCACTCTCTTCCGACAGCTTATTCCCCAGCGCCACTGCCATAGTTAGAGCTGGAATTTTTTATAAAAGAACGAGGAGTCGGGATTTTGGGAGCCATCATCTTCGGCCAGTGGAAGATCCAAAACTAAGTCTGCGATCGGATTTTTAGTTCCGACAAGTGGTCTATGTGTTTCATATTGACTTCGGTCTCCAGCCCGTAGAAGATTCAACACTGATAATTTGATCGCAGACTCACCAATAGAGGCGATGGCTGCTGCAGTCGGCTCTACTTGCGTCACCATCGCGCTTCGTCACCGTGAACGGACTGACTCACTACTACGTGCAGCTCTCTCCCCCTCCTTGCACTCCCATTCTCCATTTTTCTAACCATCAACGATGCATCTCCATTCACTCTAGTGGTCCTTTTCCTAGTCATAGGTGGTTATGTTTGTGGTGGTGGTAGTTGTGGTTGTGTGAGATAATGATGCTATGTGAGATTCAGATTGTGCAAGTGGTCCTTTACTCTAGTCATAGGTGGTTATGTTTGTGGTGTTGGTTGTGGTTGTTAGGTGGTGGTGGTTGTGGTTGTGTGAGATTCTAACGCTGTGTGAGATTCAGATTGTGCAAGTGGTAAAGTGATAGTGTTGGGCACAAGTGGCGATGCTGTTAGGTTGTGTTGGTGGTGTGGTACGATACGGTGCGATGCCAATGGTTTCGTAGCTAGTAGTACATGTACGTTTGGTTGTCGGTGTTGGGAATAGTGGTGAGTGATCAAATCTATCTTCATTATGACTGTCTGTGACTAGATTTCTGTTAATTGTGACCGTATGTGACTTGATTACATATAGACACAAATTATACTAACATGATCACAGACAGTCACACCGATGACAAATTTAGCCATGAACACATAAGATCATAGTTCATAGTTACGGATCACAATTCGCCAATAAAGTCACAATTCACTAGTCGCATGTTTGAGTTCAAAAGTCACACTCATTTCATATAAGTCGCAAATCAATATAAATGGGTCACATATCAATATTAACAAGTCACATGTCGTTTTGTAGAAGTTACAGATCAAATTTATAGATCACATTTTATATTACGAGTCACGGGTTGAAAATCATATTTTGTGTGTCACAATGAACACGGGTGACCAGATTTGTGTTAACTGTGACTGTATGTGACTTAGTCACATATGGTCACAAATTAAACTAACATGGTCACAGACAAGCACAGTGAAGACAAATTTGGTCGTGAACACATAAGGTCACAGTTCATATGTTACAGATCATAATTCGTCGTTCTGGTTACAGGTTTGAGTTCATAATTCAGTCATTTCATATAAGTCAAATCAATATAAACAGGTCACGGATCAATATTAACACGTCACATGTAGGTCACATTTTATGTTACTAGCCACAGCCTAATTAGGTCACAGATTCAATAGACCTGGTCACAAATCACAATTTGCATAGGTCACAGATCTAATGGAACTAATCACAAGTCAATGCCAAAAAAGAAGAGAAAATGAAAAAAAGGTAGGCTGTTGGAGAAGTGAGCGGTCACCAGAATAGTCACCGGAACGGTCGTTGTCGGGGAGGTCGCCGAAATATTCATCGAAGAGGCTGTCGGAATTGTCGTCGGAGCGATCGTTGGAGGTGGGGGTGTGGGTCGTCGGGATTGTTCGCCGGAGTCGGAGCAGTCATCGGAAAAGTTGCCAGAGGTGGAGTGGGGGTCGCCGGAGCAGTCGCCGGAGGTGGGGTGGGGTGGAGAGAATGAATGTTTTGAATTTAAAATTTGGTGTGATGGGTGTGGTGGGTTGGAAGCGGGTGGGATAAGTAGATTAATTATATTATATTATAATTAAATATTTATTAAATTTAATTACCATCTGATTTTTGAAAAGTTTTAAAAGGTTTGTTAGTTTTGAAATGTGCTTTTTAAATGAAGGAATTATGTGGTGTTCCCATTAAATATTATAATTAAAAATATCTAAAAGGAATAAAATATTTTGTATTGTTATAAAATAATGAGATAATTATTTGGTACTATATATATAAGTTTTATCTAGTTTAGAATGTCTATTTTATTTCAATTATAACTCTTATTTTGGACCCTATAAATATAGGGCATTAATTCTTAATAATACATAATTGAGTTTTGACTCTCTATTTCTTCTCTCTCTCTCTCTCTCTCTCTCTCTCTTTTTTATTATAATACGTTATCAGCACGATCTCATTACATGAAACTTGCCTCGACAAATAATTATTTTCTCTGATTCTCGATCAAGTCTCTTTGTTTTCTCTCTAGTATATTCATACATGCATCTCGAAAAAAGAAAAAGAAAAAAAAGGGCATTGAAAGTTGGTGAATTGACTGCCATGTGCATATATTGTATTCAAGTTTCGTGACTAGACTTTTGCTCCCAGGTCATCCAATTTATAGAGGAGTTTTTCGGGAATAAAAGAGGTATTTTGAACAAAGATGTTGAAATATATCGCCTTTAAACGTCCTGAAACTTTCTTGCTAGGTTCAATGCAATAGTCAAATCAAAAATTAATATTCGTGCAACAGGTAATTGATTCCATAATTTTTGTTCCATTAAAAAAAAAAAAAACTTGCTCATTATTTTTTCGTCAAAAAATTGCACATGATGTATTTAATTGTTTGTTTCTTGTTTATCGTTCGATTAATTATCACATTCATGTTTTTTTTCTAAATACATATTCTAGTTTATAAATTTAGTACTCTGATATCTCTCTATTACAAATAATCTGTTGGTGCTTCTAAAGTAGCACAACACTATTAATATTTTTAAAAGAATATAATTGCTTTGCATTTTATTAGAAAACATGTTTATGAAGAGTTCGTGTTTTTAAATAATATTCGTTGTTGCTCCTAAAATAGTACAACATTATTAATATTTCATAAGAATATTATTTGCCTCCGAAGAGCATGAATTATAATTTTTAATATTCCAGAAAAATATTGACATATTGTTCATGAAAAACATGAATTATAATTTTTAATATTTATATAAAAATATCGATTTATTGCTTTTGAAGAAGTTATTGCTATTGAACAAATAATAGTAAAATATAAAGTACTATTGAATAAGTACAACTCTGCAAATATTAATATTTGTCTAAAAAATATACTCATGAAGAGTTAATGTTTTTAAACAATAATTTATTAATGCTCCTAATGTTGCACAATATTGTTAATATACTAAAATCAATATTATTGCTCCTGGAGTAGTACATTTTTATTAACAGATATTTTAGTTTGACTTACTCCTAAAGAGCATAATTAAATACGATCTAACATAAATTATATTTTTACTCCTAAAGAGTACATTTTTATACAATATATTATTTCAAATAATAATATGTCATTGCTTCTGAAGAGCATGACACAACGATTCCAATATTTCAGAACAATATTAATATTACTGTTAAAGAAGCGATAATAAAATACAACGTACTCTTGAAAGAACAGATGTTTTGAAAAATATATCATGTGTTATTTATAAATTTGTGTTTATCCCCGAAAGAAATCATACGACTTGTGTCATGTGATTATTATATAATCATATAATATTTAATCATATTTTCCGAAATTAAATTACTAAATTATATCTCATAATAAACTAGAAGTTTAATTTGATTGACACGACTAGTTGGATCATCACTTGATTAATAATTACGTTAAATTTAAAAAATTTAAATGGATATTCAATGAAGAAACAAAAGATTCTTCAATTCGATGAAATCCTATATATATTTTGTTTTCTTTATCAAAAATTTATCATTAAATATCACTAGCTAAAATATGGACTGAATTTCCTAATTTCTGAAAATTGATTAGGGTGATAAATGGGACCAAATCACCCTCCACGTTGATCATCTAAATATTATCTGTATCTAATAGATTTGATACATATACTAGATGATTGCATGGTATTCACAACCTCAAGTTTGTGAAATTGCTGTTCAAATTTTAAATTATGACCACAATTTTCAGACTGTATAATCAATACCATGTCTTGTTAATGCTAGCGGACATAAATCTTAATGTTTTAATAAGTATCAATTGGGATGTCGATAAATTGTTTAACAAATAATGGTTTAACACTATTATTTGTTAACTTCCTCCAATTAATTTGTTGAGAACAAAGTATTTTCTATTTTTATTTAGGGAATTCTATTATGTATCATGTCAATATTATATTTCTCCTATTATAATTGGCTTCCTATTATAATTGGCTTATAGTAAGAGTCTAATTTTTTCATCTAATTATTTGGATAGCGCAGTATATGCAAATTTGAGCCACCACAATGCACTGAGATTGAAAAGTAAAGAATGTTGAGAATAAATACGTAGTTTTAAGCCTTATCTCAAATGGATGATATTTGATAATGCAATTTACTGATTGTTAATTCGATTGAACAATTCTCTCAGCATTAGAGGGTGAATTAAGAAGCTGAAAATAATGTATAAATGTATCATCATCTAAATCCTCGTAAAATATCATTCGAATCAAAAGTTCGAATGATAATTTATTTACAAGCATTTACTGACCAAAGAGATAAACAATATCTCACGCACCAATTTTAAATGCTCCAATACTAATTGATGTTCTAGGAGGACAATTTGATAGCATTATATTTAATATATCTATGGCAAGCCTGAAGCATAATGGTATACGATTCTAATAGAAAAATCTTCAAATGAAAATGGAGCAATTAATTGATGCGAACCCCGTAACAACTTAGACTACGAAACACACAACTAGATTGATGCGAAATTCAAGAACACCAATTGATAACCGGTTTGAATTTGAACTCAACAAAATGAAACAAAGAACCCAAAGATAACGGTGATACATTGGACCCCTTGCTTACATATTGAAGAACCCACGATCCGATGTTGAACGCCACGAGGAGTTATCCTTGATAAGTTCTAAATTATTGTTCAAACAAGAACAAATTGGAAAAAAGCAAAAACCTCTCTTGAATTCAATAATAATTGCCCAAAAAAAAAGTCCTTTACAATGTAACGGAGAGAGTATTTATACTAAAACTAAAAACCTAGCTAAAATCGTGCAAAATCATTAAAATATGGAAAGAAATCTAATTGATATCAAATTCTAACAAATTAAGGAAATTCGCGAAAAAAGAAAAATTCTACTTGATTTTTGTACCATGCGGCCGCAGGTACATTTCCATGCGGTCGCATGAAAGAAATTGTCGCCCCTCGAGCCACTTTAAAACCATGTGGCCGTATGGTTGTTACTTTGACCTCCGTTTTCGTCCGTTTGTATCGAGTTGATCCACTTTGATTCGACTCTCGACCCGAACACGAAACTTGTCCCATTTTGAGTCCCGAACATCGTCCCATCAATGGTTTCTTGAACGAGCAATCTCATCGCTTGTTTCACTTGCTTTGCTCTCGATCGTGTCATCGGTCCGCTTTCGATAATCAACGGGTCTCGACTCGAACTTGCCTTCTTCAAGCTTGATTCTTGGATCACATCATAGCTGAGATGGTCCCAATTGAGGAGGCATATACTTTTGATGAATATTTAAACATAACAAATTATAAAAGCCCATAAGAGGTTCATGTACCTGATATGTTGAAAGATGAGGCATCTCAATAAATTATGTCATTATGAAAAAAGAAATAAAATCAAAAGAAAGTTGTCAACAATAATTTTACACACGATGTACTACTTTATATTATGAATAGAGAGGAATTGAATAAAATCGAAGTAATGATTGGCCAAATAAAATGGATGCGATCCTAGCAAAATTAAATTTACTATAGAAGCCTAAAATTTCTGGATCTACAGTCCGAGCATCAAAATGATCATATTTATGTGAAATGAAAATGAAAAAATAAAGCCATAATATGAAATATACAGCTTTTTACATAATAAATGTCCCAAAACTTGTTTAAATAGATAAGTTATCATGTGGTGATATAATCACATGTCTCTACCTTGTTAGAGTGACAATGTTTAAAATTTGATATGCATATAATAAATGTGATTATAGTCAATTTATCTTACATACAGATTTAATACTATTTTTGAAGGATTTAATAAGCTCGACGCATAATTCAAGTGAACTTATCATGAAGGAAAGTAAATACGCGTTGTAATCTATTTTCTTTGACCAATATTTTGTCCCATTAGATTTTCATGACAAGATTTTTAATGAGACAACTTTTATAGCGTATTTAAAATAATAATATATTATTTTCCTTTATTAGGATTTTTCCTAATAAGGTTTTAATGATGCGTATTCTTGTGTAATAAACGTCTTTAACCTACAAGGCATTAATCCTAAAAAAAGTGTACTCTTGTATGTATTAAACTCTTGAAGAGATCAACAAGAGTTATTTTCGAATCATCATATTACTATAGTTATTAAAGGATGATAAATTTCTCGTATGAACACTGTGTTATTTGAAGACAATGCAAAATAACACGAGACACTTCATCAGAAATTGTAATATTGAAGGCATTGATGTACGAGATATAGATAGCTTGATACAAGAATTGAAATCATGGGGAGTAGTCGTACTATTTTTTCTTCAATCAAATTTTATCCCACTGAATTTTATTGACAACGTTTTAACGAGGCGCTTGTTGTTAGTCCAAATTATTTCTCTTCTTCATTTGTTGGCATTTTTGTCCCATCGAATTTTTTTGTCAAACATAGTTTCAATGAGATAGTTATTGTATAAATATTCATCAAAGTGAGAGTATTGTAAAATAATGAAATTATTATTGATGATTATTTAATAATATCATGATACATATATAAGTCGTATCTAGTTTAGAAGATCAATTTCATTCCAATGGTAACTCTTATTTTGGACCCTATAAATACAGGGTATTGATTCTTAATAATATATAAACTGATGTTTTATTCTCTATTTCTTCTCCCATTTTCTTTCTTCCTTTTAGTCTTTGTTTGGCCCCCCATTCTCTTTCTCATTTTTTTCTCTCTTATTTTCAACCACAAAAATTTTCATAAAATAATATTAAACGCAAATATAAAAAAATTTCATTCTTTTTCAACTACATATTTAAAAAAAGTACTATTCCAACCATTAAAATTTGAAAAGAATGTGGGCCAAACTGGGGCTTAGTTTTATAACATGTATCTATTTCTTTAAGAAATTTTAATGATTATTTTAAGTGTTACTTACATTCATTTCCCTCAGTTTTATTTTACTATTCTAATTTCTCCTGCATTTATACTCCAGCATTTTTTTTTTCCAAAATTTACTGTAAAAGAAAAAAAAAGGAAAAAAAGCATGACAGCCGACTTAACTCAACTCAACCCTATATGAGCAAGTCTGCCCCCTCGATCGACGGAGACTCGACCATTTTCACCCCTTATTAAAAAAAAAAAAGGTTGAACCCTAACCTTGAGGGTCCCCACTGTCCCGCCCCTAGAGTTTTGTGAGGGAGGTAAATCACGGGATGTGCCCCAACAGGTCAGGGAATAAGAGCTGTCTGTACACTGCACGTACAAGGAGTCCAATTTCATGTCTCAGGAATCGAACACCCACACTGGGATTGCCAACAAAGTGTGAGATAACCTCACTCCTGTCCTTTGTACCACTGAACTATGCCCGGGGGTATTTTTACCCCTTATTAAACCTTATATAAAGGGCTGTTGCAGTAAATATGATAAATGTTGAGAATAAAAGTGCAAAAGAAATAAAAATGAAATTTGTTGCGGTGGACAGGGCAGCCAATTGAAAATTAGTAAAAATTACATGAATGGAAAAAGAGTAATTACAAAATCACACAGCACATGCAATGCAATGCAATGCAGCAACGCGCTCGAGTTTAACATAAATAAATAAAAAAACGAATCGAGTCTCAACTCTACCCAAAGACAATTTCTAGACAGATCTCTCGATTTCTTAGTCTACAAGCACTGTCGTGGTATGCATTTCAAATCTGAATGTTAAAATTGGTGTATTTTGAATAATTAGTTTTACTAATGCCCTTTTTCCATATAGGATTCAAAGTAGAGTAATTTTTCGAGAATAATATTTGTTTTATGTACCATTTAAAGATTTCTTCAGTTGTTCGTGCTAGGTTTTACTAGTAATAGGGTGAAAAAAAATTTGAGTAATCGCATTCAGATTTGAAATTTGCAGATTGTTGTGGGCACAGATCGAATTTTTGAAGTTAGCGTGGTGTGGAGATTGGTGGACGCGGTTTTATTTTTTCAGATAAGGGGGGAACTTAAATCTTGTATTTTGGAATTTTAATCTTTCGCAATTGCTTTGAATATTCCTGAAATGTATCGTTGGGTGTAAATTGTTTGGGAATTATATAATTTAATCACGATTTAATCTGACTTTTCATGTATAAGCACTCAAAATCGTCCCTTTTTAGTGGTCAAATCGTGATTATGTAATACTTCTGGCATCATATTTCTGATGTTTGCATCTGAATATCTCTTAGAGAAATATTTTTGAGTTCTATGTATTTAATACAATTCGTGTTCAAGATTTTATGTTCGGTTGTTCCCCTTAGATTGCAATAAATTTTGGCTGAAAGTTTCTGCAATCTCAGTCCAGTGTATTAGGTTAGAACCTTCTCCTTCAAGGTTGATGGCTTAATTGCCTATAAGAAACAGTTTCAAACGTGTCACTGAGAGTTCCCAATAGTTGGACATTATTCCAATAGATATATAGCATTGGCTCTTGGAGATTTTGAGGTTTTTTGATACTCCGAAGGTGAAGGAAAAAATTGGGTGTATCAGTTCCTAATTGGCTGAGTTGGCTTAAATCCGTGGATTGCTCACAACACGTAGTGCTATAATTTATTTATTTTTAATTATTATTATTATTACTGACTGTTCAGAATACTGTTTTCATTCCAATGTGCTGTGATTTGGATAAATGGTCACAAAACCATAAGATTGCATTTGGGTGGTTTTAGGTATAGAGATTTTTGGACATTAGAGATGATGCCTATATAAAGGCACTGGTTTTATAATTCAATGGTTTCAAAGTCGATATAAAATCCATGTATATTCTAAAAGGGAAATAAAATCGGTTCTACATCGATTTCATTTAAAACTGATTTTAAGATACATGAAAATATAGGCCATAAAGTTCTCGGCTTGATCTAGGATCAAAAATCTTCTGGAATCAAAATCTTCAGGGATGGATATCATAGATTTTAGCCTGTAGTCCTGAATCAGAATTTCTTCCAACCTCAAGTTTTCAAGCTCTGTCTTAATTCTTAAAGTCAGTCTTTGGTTATTTGACTGCCAAAAGTTTGACTAGTGTTTTTTCCTTGGTGGACTTGATAAATGTGAAGAATACGAACACCTGGAACATGAATATGAACACCAAATTATATATGTACATTTTAATGTGATCTTCTTTGGTTGAGCATTTAAACTAGTGGATGTTCAATTGCAGAAATGTATGATAATATAGGAGCACAGCCACGGGTACCATTACCACCTATCTATGCACAGCCAAGTCCTTTTGGCAATTCTTTGTACGGTGCTGGTTCAGGATTCATTAGAGGTGGACTAGGTGCTTATGGAGAGAGAATTTTAGGATCCAGCTCTGAATATGTGCAAAGCAATGTAAGTAACTTACATGTAATTTAATGAGACATTGGGCTTTACTCTTTATATGCTTTGAAGGGCGTTAGGTAGTTTTAGTCTATCAATCATTTTAGTGCTGGATTCTGATAATTGAGATTTGGCTTTGTTATTATCTATACAACATGGTGAAAGAGCCTCGATTATAATTTTTTTCTGAACTTGCTTTGCACAAACAGATTAGCAGGTACTTCTCTGACCCTCAATACTATTTCCAAGTCAATGATCAATATGTAAGGAACAAATTGAAGGTTGTTCTCTTCCCATTTCTGCACAGAGTAAGAATTTTTTCCTCTTGCTATCTTCCAGTTGTTCCCTATAAATTCTACTTCTGTATGGCACCACATTCTTTCAGAAGTAGTTCTCTAACTCTCCTATTTTCCTTTAGGGCCATTGGACGAGAATCACAGAGCCAGTGGGTGGCAGGCATTCCTACAAACCCCCCATTTACGATATTAATGCACCAGACTTGTATATTCCACTCATGGCATTTGGTACCTATGTTGTTCTTGCCGGCTTAACACTGGGTTTGAATGGAAAGTAAGTTTGTGGAACCAATCTTGTATTTGTTTGAGCGTTCTTTTAGCTTGTAATTGGTTGCCTCTAAAGCTTTTTTGCTTGGGGTTTTTGCCTTTTTGGAACATATGAATGGCACTCTATAGAATTAAATTATTTTCGGCTGTGAATATTCATTTTCCCATTTCTATTTAATTGTAATTATATCATCAACTTGCCCCTCAAATTTAGATTGGATCCAACTTTTTCCTTGGAGGGTTGCATAAATAGATGGAGAGGTACTTGAACCAATGATCTTTGCCTGCTGATAGTTGATACGTGTTAACCACCTTAAAAGTTTAAGCTGTTTTGTCAGTAAGCTGTCAGTTAATGATGGGTCATCTGTGGTTTCGTTCTCTCTTTTTCTTGTTCATCATTGGATAAGTTCCTTTTATTTTGCCATCATGCAAAATCGATGATGATGTTTAAGTTCACGAAACTACTAGAGAATGTTTTACGGCACGATA